GGTAGGGTGTACTGCTATTTTCAGACTCTTTCATAAGTAAAACTGTTGATTTAACAAAACTCTAATACTAAAAATTTATTACATTTTCCGTGGCGCATCTTGCAATCTTGAAATGTGCACCAAGTTTTTCTTCTTTTTTCTTCAGACTGCGCATCTTTACTAAGCTGCTACCCAGTGGTCCAATTTTTACGGAACTGGTCAAAGTGTTCCCTTTTGAGTTTTTGCCAGTTAACGAGGAGTTAGATGTGATTCAAATGGCGAATTATGCGTCAATCTGAATGACCCTCGAAGGGCTGACCCACATATGTCGCAAAGGCTGCTGGTAACTAAATAGAGCTGAAGCAGCCCAAGATAGGAGGACCCGCTGTAACTGTAGTCAGCGTCATGAACATTCCAGTAAAATCACTAGCGTGGAATGCTTTACACTGACAACGCAGACGATCCTGGGAATCTTAGCGACAATGCTAGCTCCTTCCCTCAGTATTTTGCGCTAATTCACGGTTCTTGCAAGACGGATGCCAGTTGTAAAACGCATCATTTTCATTCTTCCCAAATCAAAAGAGTAGGAAAAATTCTTTCTGTCAAATTCGTCAAGTTCCTTTTTTTTTTGAAATTTCATATTTTTCAGCAAAAATGACTCTAACGAAAGTTGGGACACGTTTAGTAGTGCATGAAGATTTATCAAAATACCGAGTACCGGATTTATCGGAACAGAAAAACGCAGGCTACGACGGGCGAATGGAATGGAGGCAGACCACTGCAATGCTTATAGCGATAAATAGGTTCCGGACGGCGGTGCTCAACTTCAACGTAGATGCTGTTAGGAAAACTTTACGGGATCTTCAGGATGTCACTACGGCAGGCTTTTCTCATTTTTCTAATGCGCTTTTGTTATGCAAAAAGCGTATTGTCGAGAGAGGATGCGGTACATGTGTGTATGTGTGTACGTGTGTGTGTGTGTGTTTGAGAGGAGGGGTAGAGGGAGTGGAGGATCAGAAACTAGGAAAGCTGGCAGGCAGAAATTTTGCGAGTCTGTTCCCAGCATATGTGTCATCCTGATGTCTCGAAATCCTCTCACGTACCCCTGGACCCCACATACAGATGCCGGAAAAAAATGTGTAATTTTTGTGACAGGAAACCAGTTTCGAAAGCTGAACAAACTGGAAAGTCGAAATTTCATACAGATGCTCCCTATCCATGCATGAGCAAAATTTCAAATTCAGCTATCAGGCACGCCTGCTCTACGCCTATATTTTTGCTTTAAAGTCCGCGCTGGCACTGTGACAACTCAAAGCTAGCCAGAAAACAGCAACTGGAAATTGTCGAAATATTAGTCGCCGTTTGGGTAAATGTGTATCTAAAGCGAGTTTCGATTTGTACTTGCACCGCGACTTAGGGCGCTTCAAAAATATTTGTAGCGATGTGGCATTTCGTTTACAGACAAACCGCGAGGGTGTAACTTTGCAAGGATATTTTTGTACTCATATGTGATCTGAATACCAATCTAGAGACTAATTTCCCTGCACGAAGACATGCAAACATTCAATTTAATAGCAGTCTCAAAAGTGAATGCGTCTTTTGGATTTCGCAGTTCAGTTCCGACATGGCACTTTAAAATCTGCTTTTTTCGGAGTGGGATCGCGTATCGGGAAAACGGCCAATCTTCGTGCAAAAAACTGATGATCATGCATGCTGGAGATTCAAGCGACCATACGATGCAACACTTCCACTCCAAGCGACGCCATTTTTTCCTTGCATGCAAGAAAACACCAAAAAACAGTCAACATGAGTCCATGGCTTTAATCAGTATGCAGAAACCATACAAATGCTGTTAACGATGTGACTGCTGCAACTTCAGTGCTAAAACGCATAATCGCACCGGCAAGCCTGGTGGCAATTTGGATTTGTAAGTAATGGACCGAAAGTCGGAATTTTTCCGGCAAACGATGAATGCAAGGATACCAAAATTTAATGTTTGATTTTAATGCTAAAGCTGCATATGGATATGAATTTATTGCTAAGTCTGTGCTGCGAAAAGTTGGTACTTGCATATTTTTCTTGCTGAATTACAAAATTTCGCAGAATGGGTGAGTCGCTAGTCAAGCTGTAGCGTTTCAGGGAGCATTATCAATTTCAGGGGCAGATTGGACGCTTACTAACTCTATTATTCAATCGAAGTTCGGCGGAACCAACCAAAGAAGCGTTACTAACAGCAATCTGTATTGGAAGCCGGCCACTTGTCGAATTCATTTTATCGCTTTTCTACGAATTCCCGGGTGAAGAGCGCAATGGTCAGTGGCGGTCTGCTTCCGAAAAACCAAAGGAATGCCGTAATTATGAGGGTTTTGCACGTCCTGAGCTTCTGTCCACTATTTCCAACAAATGGGCATCTGCAAGCATGTGATTGGCCATTTTTCTGATTGAGCATGACTTGAATTGACGTGAGAGTCATTTGCTTGCTGTGATCTTAGTTTGCCCTTACCTTACCTAGATTCCCATATGATTTCCTGCTCAGCTTTCGAAATTCAAGAGCCCTTAAAAAAGTTCTGTGCAATAATCTGCTTCTAATTAATTAGTGATAGCTGTCGCAGAGTATGAGATGAACATTGAGTAGGTAGACCCAAATTCGATGAAAACCCCAGCATTCCCAGAAAAATGAGATAGGATAAAAGGGCAAAGAAAGCTAGGACCATCAAAAGGCTATTTATGTGGCCAACCTGTGGGAAAGTGTTGAAGCTTTCTTCGAATAGCTTGTCTACCTC